TCAGAGTCTGCGACTCCCTCCCGATTGAAAACGCCAACTGTGCCCTCCGCCTCCAGCCCGCTCCGCGCACTCCACACCTCAGAATTTGACTTCAGCACTGCGCCTCCTCTGAGTGTCCGTATGCGTTTCTCTTTCCTCTTAGTTGTAGGACTTCCACTCAGCCAGCGTTCCTGTGGTTCTGGGTGATGTCCGTTCCGTTTTTTAGTTTCACTTTTGAAGTAGTTGTTCAAGGCAGCAAACTCCAGCGTTAACCTATGCCGCCATCTTGGTTCTCTCCCTTTGGTTCCTTTCCATGATGCTAATATCTGCTTAGATTAATCTTGAGAAAGCAGAGATCTTGCCTAGTCATTGATCAATGATCATTCTTTATCTCATAATTTTTATGTATATTAAGTTATAACTGAAAAAAATTGAGCATCTTAATACATGTTGTTTTAATTATTGGTGTCACTGATTGGCTTGGAAAGCTGCCGCATTTAAACTTCCTATATCTTGTCCATAGTTAAGATAATGAAGTCTGCAAATCTTTTTTTTTTTTAGTATATTTTTATTGATTTCAGAGGGGAAGGGGGAGAGAAGGAGAGATGGAAACATTAATGATGAGAGAGAATCACCGATCAGCTGCCTCCTGTATGCCCCCCACTGGGGAAGAGCCGGCAACCCGGGCATGTGCCCTTGGCTGGAGTCAAACCCGGGATCCTCCAGTCTGCAGGCCGACACTCTATCCACTGAGCCAAACCAGCTAGGGCTGAGAATCTTAACTATTAGCAATACCATCACCATAAAGCCATCCTGACTGTGGATTCCACTTCATTTATTTTATTGTGTAGTTTTGATCACAGAATAGCAATGTCCTGTGGATATCTTTGCATTTATGGAGGGAAATAAGACTAAAAAGTTTGTTCTTTTTCTGTAGCTTTAGAGTTTTTATGGACAAATGTAAGATGGGCTCTGGAGCAAAATCTGCCATCTCAAACCATCTATCTATATTACTAACAATTACTGTGCTTGCCTTAAAAAAAGGAAATGCAAATCAACCAACCATATTAGTCCTTTAGAATAAAGTATCAGCATCTTATCTGGGAACTAGGAAAGAAAGTTATTTTTGTCTTACAGCATTGTAGTATCGTATATCATACTACCATAATAAAAATTCAGAGATGTTCATTTATATATCTAGCACTACTCTCTTCTACATACACTTGCCTGTGAAAATGGAAATTTTCAGGTCCGAATATTTGGAGTCCAGTACTTTAAAGATCAAACAAACAAAAAAGAAATACTCACAAAGAAACCCTCCTGATAAGCTTTGGATTGAGATCATTTTTCTAGTAATCACAATGCTGGATAATAGTAAAGGGAAAATGTTTGTTCTGTTTTGGAGGGAAGAAGAATCATGGGCCCTGTAAATAACTTTAGAGTTGATCTAGGTTAGCCTAGGTTAAGATAGTGGAAGACTAGAGAGGTGGAGTGCTGGGCTGCATGGCCTGGCTATTAGTCCCAGAGCTAAGAATCTAATCCAGGCCTCCTGAGACCAGTCTAGTAGAAGGAGCTTGGGCCGTCCAGCAATCCAGTTTGTCTGTTGTCCATTCTTATCTACATCACTAGTGACCCGGTGCACAAAATTCGTGCACATTAAAAGGGAATTAATTGGAGGAAATATTTTAATATTGCTATTTGCCCTTTCTCTAGAATAGAAGTGTCAGAGATGTAAGAAAATTAGTAAAATGTATATGAAAATCTTCCTCCTGTCAGAGTCTGGGACACGCCACGTTAACCAGAGTCAAGTACCCGCCCACCCATGTGCACCTTGAAATCGCGAGAGGCCCAGACCCAGCCAGCCCTACCCTCGTCAAGCCCTGCCGGTTGGGGGGGCGTGGCCTCGGTCGCCTGTCCCAGCGCCAGGGCAGGAGGCGTGGCCTCAGGTCCCCCAGCCCAGGCCAGGGGACTGTGCCTTGAGGTCCTCTGGCCCGGGCCAGGGGGCATGGCCTGAGGTCCCCCATCAAACCCCACCAGGCAGGGGGCACAGCCTCAGATCCCATGACCCGGCACCAGGGCAGGGTGCGTGGCCTGAGGTCCCCCAGCCCGGCACCGGGGTGGGGGTTGTGGCCTGAGGTCCCCCATCAAGCCCCACCGGGTAGGGGGTGCGCCCTGAGGTCCCCCGTCAAGCCCCGCCAGGTAGGGGGCACGGCCTCAGGTCCCATGGCCCGGCGCCGGGGCGTGGGGCGCAGCCTCAGGTCCCCTGGCCTGGTGCCAGCGTGGGGGGGGCGCAGCCTGAGATCCCCGTCAAGCTCCACCAGGCAGGGGACGCAGCCTGAGAGCCTGAGGTCCCCCATCAAGCCTTGCTGGGTGGGGGGGGGGGGGCGAGGCCTGAGGTCCCCTGTCAAGCCCCACCAGGCAGGGGCACAGCCTCAGGTCCCCTGTCCTGGCCTAGCACCACGCAGCCTCAGGTCCCTGCTGATTGCTCATTAGGGTTCGTAACGGGAACTCAGCCTCTGCTATGGGTGCAGCCATCTTGTGTTACAGAATCCCTGCCTCCGCTATGGGCGCAGCCATCTTGTTATGGTGTGGTGGTCAATTTGCATATTCCCTCTTTATTAGATAGGATCCTTTGTAATCAATAATCTAGTCATAAATTTGTACAGTGAGTCTTTGTACTTTGTAAAATGTTTTCCTGGCTGTGTAACATTTTTAGCTTCACAGTCTTACTATTTCACTTTTGCACATGAGGAAGTTGAAGCTTATAGATATTTAAGTGCTATGCCACATTATCATGTCACATTGCTAGTGAGTGACAGCCAGATTTTGAACCCAGGCCTCTAACTACTCAGTCGGTGCTTTTCTGTGTCCCTTTACTCCCTGGGATAATTAAGAGTTAGTGTTGTTTTTCTAATAAATATGTAAGATAAGTAAAATAGCAAATATATATACACTAGAGGTCCAGTACATTAAATTCATGCACGGGAGGAGGGGGGAGTACCTCAGCCCGGCCTGCACCCTCTTGCAATCTGGGACCTCTTGGGGGACATCCCTCTCGCAATCTGAGACAGCTGGCTCCTAACTATTTGCCTGCCTGATTTCCCCTAACCACTTTGCCTCCCTGCCTGATTGCCCCTAACTGCTTGCCTGCCTGCCTGATTGCCCCTAACCACTTCTGCCTGTCTGCCCACCCAATCACCCCTAACCATTCTGCCTGCCTGCCTGATTGCCCTTAACTCCTCGCCTGCCTGCCTGATCACCCCTAACCACTTGCCTGCCTTTTTGATTGCCCCTAACCGCCTCTGCCTTGGCCCCTGCTGCTACGGCTTCATTTGGAAGATCGTCTGGAAGGACATCTGGAATGACATCCGGAAGGTCATTTGGCTGTCCAGTCTAATTAGCATATTATGCTTTTATTATTATAGATAGTTGGAGGAGAATTTTATTATTGAAACAAATGCTAGAGTCATTAGCTTAGTGTCCTACTCTTTTTGTTCTTGGAGCAGGGACACTGAGTCTTATAATTACTCTGCCCCAAGGGCCAAGTACATGTTCTTTGCCTCAGAGGTCTTGATCTGCTCCATATTCCCTGAATATATGTGCACTCTCAAGCTCCTGTGACTTAGCATTAAGATGCCTTTGTCCATTTTTCTCTTGGGTTAATGCTTCCTGTCACAACCCAGCAGTGCATATTTTTTCTCCTTTTGAAAGTATTTCTGGCCTCAAAACTAAACTAAATTAGATGCCAGTTCTCCTCCCTTTTCTCTATCTCCACATAGCATCCTGAGCATAACTTTCTCAGAATACTTATTACATTGAATTTTAATAGTTGGTTTGCTTAACTGTCCTCTCCCTACTTCTCTGCCCTTGTCCAATGTTTGGCACATACTAGACACTGTAAATGTGTACAGAAAAATGAATAGAGATGGCTGCTGCCTTTAGTGTTGACTTTTTAACCCCGGGTGCTCCAGCGGCAGGAATCTGGAAACTGCACCTAAGGGGAGCCTACACTAAATTGGGGTAGGCTGTTTTAAGAGCATTGTGTTGGAGGGGATGTGTGCATGTACACACATCTGCACACACGCGTATGCGCATGCACGCGCACGCGCACACACACACACACACACACACACACGCACACACACTGCTGCTGCTGCTCTGAGCAAGCCAGGACAAATGGAATAATTGAATAATATGAGGTGGAATTGAAATTTATATCATTATCTGTTTAATTGAATTACATGAGGGTTGTTTTTTTTAAAATGGCATTAAATAGCATTGTATTTTATGATGGTTGCATATATGCTATGAATATTTATCTTTGTATAATCTATGTTATATATAGAGAGAATATTCAAATCATAGATATTTTGAAATCCATTTCTCCCCAAACATAGTGTGGAGCAAAGGCCATTTTTTAAACATACACTGAATTATCTTTGAAACTACGTTTAGAGATGCAATCTTTGATGTAGTCTTATAAATGCATAAAATCAGTCAGTAGCAAAGAACCATGATTGGGATTGCCAGTGCAAATGTATTATGTAGTATACCTCAAATTAGATTACATACTCTGTAGATTAATGGTCTTTAAAACAATCATTGAGCAGTGAGGTAGTTGTGGATTTCAGTTAGTAAATAAAACAAATTGATTGTTTCTTATGCCACGTCATATAGTATATGACATCTTTGCTTTTAATCACAATTTTTTTTTACTGAGAACTTGGCAGTGTAATTCATTCTTACCCAACTAGCAAATTAATTTCATTTTTATGTTTTATGACTAATTTGTTACCTGTTCTAAATGTTACTGTGATTTCTTTTTAATATTTTTTACTGTTTTTGAAAATGTATAATATTTTTCAATTACAGTTGACATTCTACTTCACCATCTTTACTCTAAGTCCAACATGACCTAAATTTTAATATTTTACTAAGTTAACTGGTAATATTATATTAATACTTTTAGCCTCTCTTGGTAGGTGTTAATTACTTTTTGTTTGTTTGTTTTGTTAATCTAGAAACCCTTGGTTTTAGTCAAATACATCACTATCTATTAAAGGAAACCAGACCTGATGTGGAAGTAGAAATCTAATGTGTGAATATACAGAAACTGCTTCAGTTGATTCAAAATGGGAACAACAAGTGATGAGATGGTATCGGTGGAACACACCTCCTCGTCCTTCAATCCTCTGTGTTTTGAATGTGGTCAGCAGCACTGGACAAGAGAAAATCACTTGTATAATTACCAGAATGAAGTGGATGATGACCTGGTCTGCCATATTTGCCTTCAGCCTCTATTGCAGCCATTAGATACCCCCTGTGGACACACATTCTGCTGCAAGTGCCTCAGAAACTTCTTACAAGAGAAAGATTTCTGTCCATTGGACAGAAAAAGACTTCACTTTAAGTTGTGTAAGAAGTCTAGTATTCTAGTTCATAAACTTCTGGACAAATTATTAGTTGCATGTCCTTTTTCTTCAGTGTGCCAAGTTGTAATGCAGCGCTGTGATCTGGAGGCACATCTTAAAAACAGGTAAGTAAAATTTATGAAAGAAAGAAAAGTGACTCTAGGTTTTATAAAATGGCTGTTCAAAAAATTGATTAAAAGAATACAAAGGCATCAATAAGTAAATGGACAAATAAAATACAAGAGATACAAAAATGAGTAAGTTGTATGGAATATCAGTATTTATATAAAAACATGAATACAAAAACTATAGTGAGGAAGTACCATTGTATACCTATTAATATTTTTGCTGGTAAAATAGGAAGCTGCTATATTTATTTATATGGGTAGCAGGATATAACGATAGACTCTTTTGCAAGACATTTAAAAAACTAAATGTAAATATCCTTTTATCCAGATAATCCAAAAAAAAGGAAAGATTGCATATAAGGGTGTTCATTGCAACACTGTGCATAATTCAGTAAATTGGACTCAATCTAATTAACAGTAGAGGAAGAGTTAAAATTACAATAGTACATAAACTCAGTGGGATATTTTGCAGCCAATGAAAATGATAGATTTGTTGTAACATGGAAAATGGTACATATGATTTTATTTGCCCATGATCTTATAAAGATTCTGTGTTCAGCCCTGGTCTGGTGGTATAGTTGGTTGGAGCATTGTCCCATATTCCAAAAGGTTGCAGGCTCAATCCCCGGTCAGGGCACATATGGGAGGCAACTGATCGATGTTTCTCTCCCCACCTCCCCACTTCCTCTCTCTAAAAATCAATAAACATATCCTTGGATGAGGGGTATTTTTTTAAAAAAGAAAAGATTCTGCATTTAGGGACTAGTCTGAATAAGAACTAGGGGTTGGAAATTTTAAAACATTTAGGTTTTATTTTTGTCCTAATAAAAACTTTTTTAAAAGTTAGGTAATTTAGTTAGCTAATTATTTAGTGAGATTTATAATTTTTCTTTGGTAAATTCTTGATCTTTATACCCTTAGGAAGGAATAAAATGCATCTCATGTCTTAAGTAGGTAGAATCACATAAAGTGACAGAAAAAAAAATGTATTCATTTCTAAATTTAAGTCACTTGTATAGTATAAAGCTAGAATAATTTTAAGTTATGTGAAAACAATGTATAGTACAATACAGGGTAGGGCAGAAGTATGTTTACAGTTGTTTGTATGGAAAATAATACAATAATCTATCTCTTATATAAAAGGCCTGTGGCTGTCACGGCATAATGCCGTCATGACCAAATGAGCAGCGACTCTCGTGGCGAGTAGGGCAGGGCAGGTGGGAGCTCTTAGCGGCGGAGAGCTATGAGCAGCGGAGGGCAGGGCAGCAAGCTGCTAGCAGTGGAGAACTAGGAGTGGCCAAGGCAGGGTGGCCAACTGAGGCAAGTGGAAGCGAGCTACTCGGGCATGATGTTGTGCACGCTGGGCCTCTAGTATATATAAAAAGCCAGCGACCAGAACGCCGTAATAACTGGAATGACTGGTCACTATGACGCCCACTGTGGCCAGCAAACCGGCCCAATCAGGGGGTGGGGCCAGCCAGCCAACCTTTAGTGGCCCCTCCCTCCAGCCAGCCCTGCCCCTGATTGGCCTCTCCCACCCTGATCAAGGGCGGAGCAGCTGGCCAACCCCCCCTACCCCGGCCCTTCCCCCCAGCTGGCCCCACTCCCCATGAGCCACCACCACCCTGATTGCCCCCCCACCCCAATAGGGGGCAGGGTCGGCCAGCCAACCTCCTGCAGCCCTTCCCCCCACCCACCCCACCCCAATCAGGGCCAACTGGCCAACCGCCTGCAGCCCCTCCCCCCAGCCAGCCCCACCCCGATGAGTCCCCACCACCCTGATCGGCCCACGGCCCTTCCCTCCAGCCAGCTCCATCCTCAATCAGCACCCCCATTCCAATCAGAGGCAGGGCCAACCAGCCAACCACCCATGGCCCCTCCCACAGGCCACTGGCCCCCGATCGGCTCTCCCACCCCATTTTGCGCAGCCAGCCAACCCACCACCCACAGCCCCTCCCCACTGCCGGCCCCACCCCTGATCAGCCCCCATCACCCCGATCAATTTGTGGCCCCTCTCCCCAGACACCTCCGCCCCCAGTAGTCCCCCACACACCAATTGGGGGTGGGGTTGGCCGTCCAACCTCCCACGGCCCCTTCCCGGCCTCTGACCCCCAATCGGCCCCCCAACCCCAATTGGGGGCGGGGCCTGCCGGCCAATCGCCCGTGGCCCTCCCCCCAGCTGGCTCTGCCCTGATCGGGCCCCAACCAGGGCGGGCCAGCCGGTCAACCTCCCACTGTCTCCTCCTCCCAACAGGCCTGACCCTAATTCACCCCGATTGGGGCTGGGCCAGCCGGACCCCACTCATGCACCAATTCGTGCACTGGGCCTCTAGTTAATCTATATCTATATATATAAAAAGCCAGGGGCCATCGCATCCAAAACAACCGAACGGACGACCGAACAGGCTGAGTGGGGCAACCAGGCCGGCAGTGGGGTTAGTGAGGGACAACCAAATGACTGAGCAGCAAGCTGCATGGGGCGACCAGGCCAGCAGGGGGGTTAGTGAGGGATGACCAAATGACTGAGCAGCAGGCTGCCTCGGGTGACCAGGCCGGCAGGGGGGGCAGTAAGGGGCAACCATGTTGTCGGGGGGGGGGGGCAGATGGGGGTGACCAGTATGGCAGGGAGGGCAGTTGGGGACAACCAGGCTGGCGGGGGGGGGGGGGGGGTGCAGTTAGGGGCGATCAGATCAGCAGGCAGAGGTGGTTAGGGGTGATCAGGCAGGCAGGCAGGTGAGCGATTAGGAGCCAGCAGTCCTGGATTGTGAGAGGGAGGTCCGATCCCAGGGATCAGGCCTAAACCGGCAGTTGGACATCCCCCAAGGGGTCCCAGATTGGAGAGGGTGCAGGCTGGGCTGAGGCGACGCACCCCCCTCCCCCCTGCCCTGTGCATGAATTTTGTGCACCAGGCCTCTAGTAAATAATAATACAAGAATAAACTGTTTCATGCACTTAAAACTATAAATCTACTTTTGCCTTACCGTCTAGAGTAGATTTAGAAATAGTATAAATCTGGCATACTAGTAGAATAGCTTGTCATTATATTCACACATAAAATCATAGAATTTTAAGATATTAATCTAATCTCACTTTATAAATCAGGAAACTGGGTCACAAATATAGAGTGCTAGTTAATAATATAGTTAGACTAAAACTTCCATATTCTTCTTTACCATTCTAATATGCCATCTGACTTTTCCACAGGTTAAATCATGTTCTCTACTGCTATGTGGTAGTAAATGTTTTCTACCTATGGGAGTATACATGTTCATTCTGTTCCTAATATCAGTGTTATAAAATGAGTGCACCCTTTAGGAATAATTTTAAAAATGAGAAAGAATGTTATTTTTAAAATATCAGAAACATGAAGATGTATTACTTAAATCTAAGCTGTATTAAAAACAGGTTAAAAAAAAGTGTAGGATAGATATATAAGCTTTTAAAAACTCTGTAGCCTTAGTTTTTTGTGCATCTTCAGTCTACAAAAGGCAGGGAACCCGAACATGCTAACAGACCTCCTGGAAATAGACACCAAACTTTTTAATATGCTAGTCTGGGTCAGGCCTAGGTACAGCTGAGGTTGAAGAATATGTTAGGTTTTTCTTATTTCTCTCAGTAGAACTGTTCTTTTTCGGGAATTGGTTCTTTTGTAGTTCTTTTATGAACATCAGTTATGGGATGTTAGAGGAACTAAGCAGAGTCTCAGTTCAGTTACTAATTATTTTGATAGCAGTGAGATAAAAATTTCACATTGTTAGTAAATTTTTTAAAAATATGTTAAAATTGTTAGTAATTTTTTTAAGTATAAATTTTTTTAAAACGTATTTTGAGTGTTGATTTCAGAAAGAGGAAGGGAGAGGGAGAGATAGAAACATCAATGATGAGAGAATCATCAATTGGTTGCCTCCTGCATGCCCCCTACTGGAGATTGAGCCTACAACCCAGCATGTGCCCTGAACAGGAATCTCCTGGTTCATAGGTTGATGCTCATCCACTGACCCACACTGGGCGGGAAACGTTGTTAGGAATATTCACTTAACTATAATACATACAACAATTTAATACAGGCATACCTCGTTTTATTGCGTGTTGCTTTATTGTGCTTTACAGATGCTGCAGGGTGTTTTGTTTTTACAAATTGAAGGCAAATCCTCCACCAGCAAAACGATTACAACTCACTTTATTGTGAGACTTGTTTTATTGTGGTGGTCTGGAACCAAACCCACATATCTCTGAGGTCTGCCTGTGTAAAGTTGAAATATTGCAAACTCTTCTTTCACTTATAACTAGATAAAGTCCAAGCAGTTATGTCTAGTTTAAAGTTCTATTTTCCAGTGTGCTTATTAATATTTGAGCTACTAATTTAATAATTCCCAAAGTGTCTTAGGCCTATATCGTGAAAGATAATTTGAAAAATATGTATGTTTTGTGAAGGTGGGTGACTTGATTGATATAAACACCTAAGAGTAACTTAATTATTAAAAATAAAAAATGGTAAATTATAAAATAGAATTTTTATATCCCATTTGAACAGCTGTGTGATTAACAGCCTAATCTTTCAGTAGTTTCTCAATTAAAAATGTTGAAATTCAGCCCTAGCTAGTTTGGCTCAGTGGATAGAGTGTTGGCCTGCGGACCGAAGGGTTCTGGGTTCAATTCCGGTCAAGGGCACATACCTCAGTTGCAGGTTCCTCCCTGGCCCAGGCCTTGGTCGGATTCGTGCAGGAGGCAACCAATTGATGTGTTTCTCTCACACCAATATTTCTCTCTGTCTTTCCCTCTCTCTTCCACTCTCTCTAAAAATCAATGGAAAAATATCTTCGGCCGAGGATTAAAAATAAATAAGTTGAAATCTAAGTAGAAATGGTTATTATCCAACACTCAGTACTAATTAATATTTAGTTCATTTGTTCATTCAGTAAATATTATCTACTATGTGCCAGATACTGTTAGTTGTTAAACAGTCTCTGTAAACGGTGGCAGGTTAGAGTCTACTT